CTGTTTGATTCCCTGCCTACTTGTTGTATTTACCTGGCAACTTGAAATCTTAGTGACAACCCTGTAAATAGTAATAAAAATAATTGTAATATTTGTGATGTTATCTTGTGATGTTATCAAAGTGACAACAACAAGGAAGAGCACCTTTGTAAAGCTTCACCTTTTTTTGAGTTTGTGTAATGCAGTGCACTATATTTACTTGCAAAGAAGAGGGAGGAAAAACAAAACACAAAACAAAAACATGTCTTTGTTCACAAATTTTGAATCAGAAAGTCTTCCTCCAACTCACAATGAGGATTTTTTTATGCATATACCTGCAAAAACTTTTACTGCAATAATTGGTGGTTTAGAAATTTAAGATAACAAAAATCTTTTGTAAGGGAAGATTTATTCACTGGCTATTTACTCCAGAGTGAATGAAATTCAATCTTTAAATCACACTATATTCAATCTGTAAATCAAATCTGAATATTATCTGTATAAAACCTTTGAAAATTTTGTCATCATGGTAACAACCACATGTGGCTATTTTACATATGAACATTACATTCCCATAATAGCTTCTGTGCTGACCCTGAAGCTCATTAGATCTTATGGTAGATGTAGTTTGCCAAACACCTGAAAAAACAAGACCAAACAGACACCTGTCAGTCTTCGAAAACTGTAGCATGAGAAAACAGCCGACATTTCACAAGTGACGCCATTGGTGGTTTCCCTACAAAATGACGTCTAGGGAATGAGAAACGTATACAAACGGGGTTCTTCTTCCGTCAAAAGGGTTCGGATTAGTTTTTTTGTTTTTTTTTTGGAGGACGGGCGGGGGAGAACCTAACCATGCAAAACTTTGCTGAGTAGCCCCCCGTGGACTTTGTGACAATTCTGACAGAGAGGTTTCATTTAAATGGTAACACCAAACGATTTTTTCCACAGATTTATGAGACAAATTGTCTCACCATAATCAAGTCTAAGAGTGAAAAGTTTAAAGCAAATAAACTTTCTCTGCATGAGCCTTTTTTTCTTGATACAATGTACATTTTCCTGCCATGTAATATGATCCAATTCAAAGTATCATAGAAAATGTGAACTTATGGCAGTCAATTTTTTATTCTTTAAGAAAACTTGAAAACATTAGTCACATTCTGGACAATATAAGGCAAAGACATAATTATGAAGAAAATAAAACAATTTCAGAGAAATTTGAAACAGTGAAATTTGGATGATAATTTGCACTCTCTAAGGTATTACCATTGTAAAAGCTGAAAGTCCCAAGCATCTTATGAAGAAGAAAAAAGTTCATTTACCTATTTTCTTATCAATTTGATTCCGACTCATTATCTTCCAAGCTGTCTTCAATTGCCTCGTCTGAACTTGGTGTTGATATTTTGACAACCTCAACTTCAACTTTGCTTGCAGGAGTGGAGGCTAGAAATAAAACAAAAAACATAATTCATGAAGAAACTTTAAATATGTTACAGATCAAATTTGATTTCAGGTTATAACTTTTTCACCTAGGTTGATTCTCTTCAAGGGCTAGTAGATGAAGGTAATAATCAGGGTGCAAAGAAAATCATTTTTACAGCTTGTCATTCGGGCAAGCTGAACCTAGCATTTACTAGCCCAGACATTAATTAACTAGCCCCAAAAATGTTTTGACTAGCAGAATTGATTTCACAGTTCTTCTGTTATTTGAATTCCTCAAAAAACATCACTTGCCCGTTGGGCAAGTTAAGAACAAATATCTCTACCCCAATAGCAAAATCCACTAGCCCCGGGCTATCAGACACTAATTTCTTTGCAAGCTGGTAATAATCAACCTCTGTTCAATCAAAATTAACCTGAAATCAAATTGGACCCGTAATATCTAATAGTATAATAACCTGTCAAATGGCATGACTTACTTTGATTAACTAGTGAAGAAGTCAATGTAGTGGTGGCTGTTGAAGATGATGTACTATTAGTTGGCAAAGCAGAATGCAGCACAGAAGATGCATTTACATGAGAGGATGATGCTAATGGAGCATCAGTAGCTTTTTCATCAGAGTAAGTAACATTACTTCCAGGTGTAAGATGAGGCATCACATCTTCAACTGCCTCTTCCTCTTGTTCCAATTCTTTATCACTTTTATCAGTTTCAGACAAACTTTGGTTTTGAGTTACAGTGACACTTGCTTCCAAATTTACTGGTGCTGGGGTGACTTCTGCAAAGTAAAAATTTGCATAATAGAAATTGGCTGAAAGCTTGCTTCTGACCCACAGTGAGTGATTAAATCAGCCCAGTTTTGGGTGACTGCTTGAAGGATAAATCATTATCTAGTGAGTTACCTAACTGTCTTTGCCAAGGGATAATTTTTCCTTTCTTCCCAACTTTTTTCTCAACAGTACTAACCCACTGATTACCAAAATCCAATGGTTTCTAGGAGTTTCTAAAAAGTTTACTTTAAACAGCCATTTCATCACGAGAGACTAAAGTAATCTTTGTTTTACCTGTCTTGCCTTGCTCCCAAGTTTTTCACCACGAGGTCGAGGGTGGTAAAACAAAGCTTGTTCAGTCACAATATGGCCGCTGTGTGAATAAGGCCCATAATAAGAGGCCTCTCCAAGAAGGAAGTGAGAGGGCCAAACGGCTGTGAGCACTGGCCATATTTAAAATGGGCATCACACACACGTTTCATTAACATTGCTTTAACTCTGTGTCTAAAATTAACTTCCATGCTGTTTGTGAGAAGTTCATGGAAAAGTTTCCCTGCTAGCAGAAGCCTCTTTTCTCTGGTATTTGGTGCGCGGAAAAGGAAAAAGTCCTTACATGATACTTACTGTCAAAGTTAGAAAACCGTGAACACCTAAAAAAAATTTCAGGAATGTTGATTGTGTACTGGCCAATCACAATAAAGTTCAGGATATGCACGCAAAACTCAGAACCACAAACTTATTACCGTTGCTGTTTGCGGTTTAATTGTCTCACGCTTTGTTGGTTGATTAAATTGCAACACAATAACATTCCATAAATATTTCTGGTGTTGAATCACGGTTTTGTGAGTTTCACGGTAAATAATTTGAGACTGTAGAAGACTGTAGCTATAAAAAATAATTACCTGGTTCATTTTGCTTCACAGGTGTTTGCAGCATTTGAAGTTTTTGTTGCATTGATTGCATGTCTAATCTATTTTTTGACAATTCTTCCCACAACTTGCCTACTTCACTTGAACAGTTGCAAATAACAGATTTCTCTTGAATTGCTTCAATATGTCGATGATCATTCACAGTTCTGTTGACTTGCACCATTTCCAACATCTGGAACATATTGTGCAAGACAAGAAACAAGGACAATGAACAAATATTAGCCTCCTCATCTTTGAGAGGTAGTTTCTAGCATTATACAATGCCTTTAGTTGTAATGGTAATAAAATCATACCACAAACATTATTTCAAACATGAGGGGCACACTGACTGGTTGCAAACTCTTTCTTTACTCCTTTTATCACAGACGTCCAAACTCATGTTACAAGAGTGGAATGTAATATACTTTCTCACAAGAGAGTCAGTGTTGTGTTACAGGCAACTGTTGAGATGTGTACAAGAAATAAGACACTGAGTTCTGCAAATGCTAAATATCATTATATTTTGCCTTTTTTTCTAAAAATAAATAAAGGAGACTTACCTTTGATGTCATCATGGGTCTTTTGGTGTGACTTTATCAATTCAATCAACTTTTTTGGTGAAGCAATGATAAAACTTTGCCTCTGGTCAGAAAAATCTGTGATTCAACGGGTTTTCGAGCCGCAAACCACCTTCAAGTAGAGAAGGTCTGGACTGCCGCTGGTTTTTCAGTGCAGCCTTGACTTTGTCTCATGAATGGAGTGACAGGGGTCACACAATAGAACCCAAAAGTTGACTAAATTGATGAATTCACAGCAAAAAACACAGAGATATGTAAAAAGTAAGTCTCCTTTATTTATTTTACAGAAAAAAGGTAAAATATAATGATATTTAGCGTTCGCAGACCTCAGTATTTTATTTCTCATACAACTTCTCAACAGTCGCCTGTAATGTGACACCCACTCTCTTGTGAGAAAGTAAATTACATTCCACTCTCATAACGTGAGCTTGGGACAGCTGTGTTTTTATCAGCTTTCAAAAGACACATAAAAATAGATTCATGTAAACAAATGCCAACAACAACAACAACAAAACAGTCAATAATAATTGATAAGTTCACAAACCAATTCAGCCAACTTTCTGGATTGTCTATGGACAGCCTCTGAGATTTTGGTGACGTCAACTGTCAAATTTAATAGCTGCTCTGAAACATCTGCTTGTTCCTCTCCTACAGGTCCTCTTGATTTTATGCTGCTGCTATTTGGGGACAATACATGAGACACTTTTGTTCGTACATCATCAAGGGTAGCCTGAGAGAAAAAATATTATAGCTTTATCGATTTGTTTAAAAACTGTTTGGGTAAAAACAGACAATATTATGTTGGAGGTGGGTAATTGCTTGTTGGAGCAAAATACAAAATATAAAATATAGTTAGAACCGCTCATAAACAACCTCTCATAAGCGACTGCAACCACATTTTGGCCTGATGGTTTTAGAGTTTTCCACTGTTTGTAACCTCGTGAAAGTAACCACTTTAATACATGGTGTAGTCTCTTTGTTTGTGGCATGTCCATGTACTACGTCACTCAGTATACAAAGAACTTTCAATGACAACCTGGAACTACATTTATTGGTAACTTAGCAATTGCATGCAATAAGTTCAATAGGTTCTCTGCCAAAAACTAGATGTGTCAGGACCTCTTCTTAGAATACACACCCTGTGATTCAATTCACCTGTAAGGAGGCCCTGCCAGGCTAAATTCCGACAAGCGACATGGTCCAAAAAGTAGTGACAGCGCGTAAAATGAAATCACGACAAGAGACAACCTCCCTCGGCCAAATTGTGANATGGTCCAAAAAGTAGAGACAGCGCGGAAAAAGAAAACACGACAAAAGACAAACCCCCCCCGCCAAATTTGGACAGTGTCGGGAAAACCGACAAAAAACCAAAAACATTTTTAAACCCCCCCCCGAGAACTTTTTAAAATTAGACGGGGAAAATGGGCCCCCCCCCCCCCCCGCCAGCAGGGCCTTTTTGAGCACCTCCCATCAATGACCACTAAATATGTGCATTCTGGGAGATCACTACAGGTGGTGCAACTGTAGCTAATACATCTGGATTAGCTGAATTAACATAACTGTAATTTCATGGGTTCAATAAGGCACAGCTTAATCACAGCGTTAGAATCACAGTTGAAAAAAACTGACAGAAAAATGTTATATAATTTTTCCTTTTAATCTCTTCTCTCACAAAGAAACCAGACAACTTCCCCAGCCAAATACAAACAGCAGGCCTAAAGGGAAAGTTAGACTGCAGCAAGAGACGGGTAGGGAGGGCTATCATAAAACTTACCACATGTTTCTTAACCTCTTCAAGAAGATTTTTCATCAGAAATCTGATCCTGTTGACTTCATGAGATAAAGTGTGATTTACTGATGACACAATTCCCATAATCCTTGCCACCTCCTTTGAAAGTAATGGATAGAGACAAGGCATTAGAAGTTAGAAATTTACAAATAATTATTTGAGGCCAAGCTTTCTTAACAAAAAACTTGGCTTCCCTTAACAACTGAAATCTTGATCATATCCTTGACCACAGCTTTTCCAAAAATGTTATGGGGAATTACTAGCAGTTCTCAATGTTACTTAATAAAAATAACAAGAAAAGATAAAGAGGAAAGGGCTGTCACCAATTCTTGCATTAATCAAAGAAATGGAAAAAGAAAAAAAATTGAGAAAAATTGAGAAAATTGGCTACAGCTTAGAGGTTACCATGCATGTGAAAAGGCATTTTTATGTGACATCATATAGTTCAGACTATTGGCACTGGTTTTACTCTAGCTGACTTTGAAAGCCCGAAAACACGAGACACTTCCTATACTAAAAACCAATAAACATAATTTAAAACTACTCAAACATATTGAAAATAATGTCTCTTTGTACTTACAACTGAAACTATTGCAGACACATTTTTGAGAGTGAGCTTTTCTTCTGGTTTTGCCCTTTCATCTGAACTGATAGGCATTCGTAAAATCAGTGGTGGGGTTCCAGTATTCTTAGGAGGTTCAGGAGTTGGTTGTCCCATGACTTGAGCTAATTGAACCTGTTTGAAAAATATGACACCAACTTAGAACAGTATTAAAAAAAGACAGTCGCACGCTTCAATGCTAGGGAGTCCAAAGTAACTTGCAATTGGCCCTGGGGGGTGGAGGGTGGGGGGCTACTTTAGATTCACGGTCACAGGGAGGTGTGAATAGAGACATCAATTTAAATGCTAAACATTTCTTCTGACTTGAAGCAACTCTGAACCCAACATACTCCCCCTCACCAAAAAAAAAAAAGGAAGAAGAATAGTGAATATGAACCCTACTGAATTTCAAAAACAGGGAAATATGTAACGTGAGACAGAGACAGTTAAGGAATATTAAAACAAGTGATTTTTAAAACATCAAAAGTGTGCAGATTATACATCCATATACCTTAAATATCTCATTAACATTTTTCTACTCAGAATCTAATCATTTTGGTGAATTCCCAGAAAAACCTTACAGTTAGGGTTAGGGTTGGGCGACTCATGACTCATTAACCCATTTGCACTTAATTATAAGAAAAACCTGGTAAAAACAAATTATCAAACAAAATAATGGCCAAAGTTTTCTTAATCAAAATAGTCCTGAAATAGTTTCAAACCCAAAATAATCCTCTGTGCCATTAGGAAAACTGGTGCTTGGACTTAGCCAGAGCAAAACCATGACATGATTCTATTCAAACTAACCCATAAAAAAAAAACAGAGATGGCATGTTCTCCTTACCGAAAGATTAAAAAACTTGTTTGTCAGCGTGTTGACTTGATCATTTTGCTTTCCAGCTAGATCAGTAAGCTGTTTTATTTTATCTTTGACCTCAGTTATATCACCTCCAGTGTCTGCCATTCCTTTTTTCAATAACTGAATGTCACCAGTGATTTTATTTGCACTTTCTGGACTTTCTACTCTCTTTTGCAAATCATTAACTGTTAAATTCAAATGAGCAATCTGAAAAAACAAAAAAAAAGTAAGATACTCTTTCTGAACAGTGAAGCGCTTACTCAGATTTGTGTTCACATATTATAGAGTCCACTAAATATGTAGGTTTTACTGTAGTAGACTCAACAAAATTGCTTCTGCCTAGATAAGGATAACAGCACTGCAATGTAATCTTAATTGCACTATGTAGAAGCCCCAGGGAGGGGGGGGGGTACTCCCCTGCATAAGCCATATAGGTATGTGCCGCCCCATCGGGTAGGGTTTTTGCGCCGTTTTGGTCTGTAAACGATACAAACTTTGCCCATTTTGGTCTGGAATCGGGGATGGTTTTTCAGGGAACTACAGAGTGTATGAACGTATTTATCGTTTCAATTCCAGATGAGTAAGAAAGAAAGAGAAATATGCGAATTCAAAATGGATGTGAATGATTGTTTTTTTTGCGCTCTAATCTATAAAGCAATCATTATGATAACACAATTTCTGCCAAAAGGCCAGGTCTCAAAATGGGTATGGATTTTAAAGGTCTAGTTTGAAAATGGGTGTGGAAAATTACATTCTTTGGTCTGAAATCGTGTCAGGATTTGAAGAACTGGGCGGCACACCCCCATTAAGAATTTCCTGGAGTACCCCCCCCCCCACCCCCAGTAGAAGCCTGATCACTTAATATAGTTTTCCAAATCATCAGCAGTTGAACCAACTTCTTTCAGTATTCAAAAGACCTCTTAAGCAGGGATGATACTGAGTTGATCTAAATATACATGTACCATAAGCTCCAGGGGATTTCTTCGAAGCAATGCATTCTTGTTGTCTTTAAACATGTCTTCTAGCTTACCTGCTTAAGAATTGATTTATAATGCTCATTTTCTTGTTTGACAACTTCATTTTCACTTTTCTTTAGTACGTCATACTTGCTACTAATGTCTTTACTGAGGTCCCCATATTCTCTTGTAGTGCTTCTATCAAATGACTCCACTGTTAATAAAAGACAAGACCAGTTAGGCTTAGATCATGCGCATGCAATACCTAAAGTTGCACTTGAACAAATCTGATGGTATTTTTCAAAGTAACCAAAATGAGTTGCCAACACTGGTTTCTGTGGTGTGATGCATAAAGAAGGATTACTGTCTTATCGCCTCAACCCCATACTAGGCCACTACAAGATTGTTCTTTTATTATGAAGTAGGCACTATTTTCTGTACAGAGGCACCATTAGGGTAAATTTTTACAAGCAAAATGACCTTGAATTAACAGTAACGTGAAAAGGGTAGAGGTTAATCAAATGGAAACCAAAAACAAAAAATGTTGAATTATAACTCAGCCTTAATGGCTTTCTTTTCATCAGGTGAAAGGGAAGTGTTTTTAAATTCAGATTTAAAACATGCATAACTCCCCCTTTCCCTCTTAGCCAATTATGTCTCAAAATGCATCCAGGAGGGGCAAAGCTGTGTAGAGCAACATTTGCATTTTGTATTTTTAGCAAAATTCTGACAATCTACTCTAGAAAGAAACACACAAACAAACAAAAAAACAAAGTTAAGAAAATAAAGTTTTCAAAAATTTAATATAAAATAATTTCATTGTCAAGACTTCACAAAAATAATATATTTATCGGAAAACAACCTTCACATTTTCAAGACAAAAGAAAGGAAATGTTAAAATTACCAAAGCGTACAACATTCCCTTTTGTTCTGGTATTTCTGGCATCAATAATGTATATTTCACAACATTAAAAATTTAGAGCATGTCACTAGCAATGAGTGTGGAACTTAGTGAAAACTTGAAAAACTTTTCAAAGAAGTAAAAATTGATGCATATATTGAGAAAATTCAAGAAAATTTACTGTGCTAAAGGAGATAGCTCATCAACTCTTTAAAGTTTCTGAAAAATACTGATATTTCTGAGACATGATGTACAGTACAATATACATTCATATTTAAATTTCTCTTCATATGAGAAAAAAATATTCCGTACCGCTGTAGGTGTGAAACCAACCAATAAAACAAATTTCTTTTTAAAAACACTTTCCTTCAGCATACTACTGGGAACGTGAATAAAACGTTGTTATACAAGTAGGCACTTAAATAAACAACTCGGGAGGTATCAGATACGGTATATCCGCATTGTATTTTGTAAATATTAGGAACCAACGTACAAAACATTTAAGAGACATCAACAACCGCGCGCATCGAATTTAAAAAAGCAACTCTTTCCTCTACTTGACTACTTGAGGGATACACTTCCAACGTATAAACAAGAATTTTGGTTTTGAACCAGCAAGACAATGTAAATACATTTGTTATTCCCTTGAAATCCGAATATTATTACTTTTTGTTTATCAAACGCCGAGGGGTAAAAATAATTCGGAGATAAAGGTATAAAAATGTTTTCACAAAACTAAGATTTCTATGCCTACGGCCGGCACGGGCCGGGTAATAAATTTTCATTCAATGCACAAAATCCGTCTCCACAGTCTACATTGTTTAACTCGATTATTGAAACCTACGCTTAGACTGTTACTTATTTTATAACTAATCAAATAGTAGTTTTTCAAGAGCCCTTGTAAATTCATTATAATATAAGCAGGTCGTACAATATCGTATATACTGTATATCCATAATTAGCCGTTCGATCGCGTGTCTGAACATTCGAGATTTAAAACGTGAAAATTGCTTCCCAATGTTAGTTCTGTGCTAAAAAAAATTCAGACTAGCTCGAAGTGTTTGGTGATTATTTCTTAATTTTCTCAAAGTGAATAATTGATGACCTTCCCAATGAAAGAAGAACGCTTGATCAGAAAACTAATTTTCAAGACCACAAGCTATTGGAAAATCACGACACGCTCCAAGGTGAATAGAGAAACACCAGTGTCCACGCTCATAATAATCTCTTGACCGCGAACAACATTAAACGCTTATTAAGGAGTGGTCGGTACAAGCCAAAAAATTAGTATTTTTCAACTGTAAGGTGTGTGAAGAAAAGTTTGACGCCTTGGTGAATTTGCTTGCGATTATTACTTCGACAGCATTCAAGCCAGCAAGAATGAAAACCGCACCTATAAACTTCCTTCAGTGCGGGGTTTGTAATAAAAAGAATCAGAGAAAAGAGTTACATGTAACAGTCTGGGCATCCGGTATAACATATTTCCAGCATTAAAAAGCAATGAAAATGCAAATTCATACAGTGCACAGACTCGAAATCAAGCCATTGAAATGTGATCCCAAAAGAGTGATACAAGAAACTCCTCGCCACCACACTCACCTTTGCTCAAGCGTTTCCTCACGAAGTCCAAATCACGCTTCAGTCTTAGACTGAACCACCCCAAAACGACTACACATAAAACCGAAGCTATAAGAAGTACAGACAGGAACACAGAAGCGCACACACGACAGCAACCACATCGCCTTCTGAAACGTTCGAAAGTGATTTTTCGTGAATTCATAAAATTTACAAAGCAAAGTAAAAATACCAGAGAAAAATACAAGCACAAGCTCTTTCTACGCTCTTTAAACAAGAGATTTTGTCAGCGCCAAAGTACCTAACCTTGCAATAAACGTGGACTTGCCAGGTTTTATAATTCTCTTCTTTGGCAGAGGAAATTCCTGCAGGTCGGAGTCCGATTCGTCGTCAGAGATGAGCGTGCCATTTTTTCTTGAAGAAAGCTTCATTTTGGTTTTATGCTTTCCCATGACAAAATCTGACAATATCCATGGTCTTTATATAGAGCTAATTGACTATATTTGTTTCAGAAGATACAGTTGTTGAATTTGTTATATTCGTAAGCATAACATGCTGAATGGAAGCAAATCCACTAGACAGAGGACACATAAATCACTAAGATTAAGAGAGGACTGGGTACCACAACACGAAGTTTCAATGACGTAGCGATGAGCGTTTCAACTCTTTCACGAACATCCAAATATTTTAAGGCAGTAAAACAACGATACTTCACGCGAAAATGGAACAGCGTTGATATAATTTTAATTTTATGACCGAGATGAAAGAAAATCTTGCTTCTAATGACATCTGGGACAATAAGTATCAAAGCAGATTAAATTAAAATAATAAGCACACAGGAATGTAAGAGAGAAGTGAAATTGGACATAACCCAAGAAATCAGCTGAAGAAATTAATAGCAGTTCTAGAACAAATAAACAAGCTGTCTTGTGTACTTTTTGATATTTTAGTGAAGTTGTTGTAATCACACATTCATTATGTTAAAATGCCATCACCTTATTTCTAACTAAATTGTTGTCGTAAGTTGGTAACAAGTGTCCATAAAATCTCTTCTGTATTAATAAAGACGTTATTTTTAACTTAAGATGTTAACTTTAAATCTCGAAAAAAATTTTACAGTTTTAAAAAGTGCTAAAACAGTTATACTGTCTTGCTCTTTTTTAAAATTGAGGAACAGAGACCCAAGTCTCAATCTACGGTACTACTGGTTGGATTAAATTCGTAGCAGGTTTTTTATAAAAATTTTTTTGTCAGCCTTGTATTGTTTGTTTTCCTGTTTCTTTTATATATTTTATACAACACAATCAAGTTAGTGCAGCAAGGACTGCAGACATATTTTAATTGTTCAACAGTACAGTGGCCCTTAAAACCTGAGCTTACACAGTTGGTTTGCAAATGGACTGTATGAGTTACATGTAATTGTAGGTGACAAGAGGAGCATGCAGCCTAATCTTGACTTGGTCAGTAGCACTTTATTAACTGTATAGTGACATTTTTCTCGATCTGTCCACATTCTTGAAATTCCCGTGTTCTTCCGACTAATATGCATGGTATGTGGCCACGAAGGCCCTGGTGTTTAGTTTAAGGTCAGTGTGATGTCACGGGAATTGCATGAATGCACACACAAGTGATGCAACAATTATTATTACATTCGATTCGCAACTGTACTAAAAGGGAGACTTGTCGATTTGCCTTGCCAACCTGGAATCTATTTACCCAGGAAAATGAAAGTGGAGCCTAATCTCAGCTTAGTGCGGGACAAGTTTTTGATAAGATACAAGTGTTAGCAAAGTCTAGAAATCGATGTAAGTTTCTTCAGGTTTTACTACAGAGCATGGTTTTTTTTTATTTATTTCCAGTTTCAACTTCCATCAGGCCACCTTTTGCGTCTATGGTTGTCGAACCAACACAATCTTTTTTGATAAGTTAATCAGTTAACCATTCCCTAAACACTAAAAATTTCTGAAAATGTCAATAATGGTTTCAACTGAGCAGTTTCACTCAAACTTTGAAACATATTACTTTGAGCACCAATTAATAATAATAATACAGCATAGTAACCTGTACTTACATGAAGTAACTCTTTTCTTCATGGTTTCAAGCGAAGTTTTCAATATGAATGTAAACCACATCATGGAAAACATTGTAGCAAGGGTGAAGAGAACAAAAATCACTTGAAGAGCATTCCACAGTGAGCAGCAAGCTTTTGACTGAGGAGTTACTTGAAGTTTTCTAATGTAGAATAACAATAACATTAATTGCTTAATGATAATTCAACAAGAACAAGAATCAAATGGAAAAAAAAAGTTATTCAGGTCTCCCTCTGAAGACACACAACATGTGTCCCCATGGCATATGAACGGGTTATCCTGGCGTGTGCTGCTCAATGTGGTGTGGTTTTTGCTTTTCTGACTGTGGAACAGGGTATAAAAATCACCCTTTATTTCTGGAAGAGGAGTAGTCTGCAAACAGGCTCCCCAAGCCACACTTGCAATGGGTAGCTTCACTCGGCAATTTACATTTTGCTCAGCTCCACTTGGGAGCCTGTGTGCAGGCTAGAAGAGGGGTATACTGTATGTACTTCAGTTTGACTCTGGAAAAGAGTTGATTTTTTTCCTATAATCCCTGAATTCTCAAGCAAGCTTAGGTGTAAATCTATGCTCCTCCTGTTGTTTCATAACTGAGCTAGCCACCGACAAAGCTGGCCAAGTGAGTTCTTCTTACATAAGCCATTTCCTTCAATTTTACAATTCCATGTTGCCGTGCATCTCTGTTCAGTGAAATCAAGATGTGGTTAGGACAAAAAGTGGCGTATGAGCTTCAGGCGCATATGACACTGATGTTCTCCCCACAATTTGACATCTTCTGTCATCTGTTATTGAACAGATGCACAGCAACATGAAATCTTTTCACCTTGTACCATAAATAGAAAATAAAAAATGACAAACTTCCTAGCACGGGTTGACTGTTTGAGGATTTGTGCCAGTTGAGGCATTTTCCAAGTCACAAAAATGACATTTTGTCTATGCTTCTTCTCTTCTTCTCTATCTTATGTGTAGACTGTTTCTCCCAAATGTTTTTTAAGGCCTTCACTTGCTCAAACAGCGTGCAAAGAAAGTACTGTCCAATAGCCCAGGGCTAGTGGATTTTGCTATCGGGCTAGTGAATTCTGTTCTTAACTTGCCTGACAGGCAAGTGAAGTTTTTTGAGGAATTCAAATTACAGAAGAACTGTGAAATAAGTTCTGCTCATCAAAAAGTTTTTGGGGCTAGTTGAAATGACGTTTGGGCAAGTATATGCTAGCCTCAGATCGCCAGAATGGCAAGCTGTAAAAATGACTTTCTTTGCACTCTGTCAAAGTAGAATTATTGCCGAAACATTTTCAAAACTGTGAGTCTCACATACCCATGACACGTGTTGGCAACTGCTGTGAAGATTAATTCCACTTTCGGCTTCTTCAAGTAGTCAAGAGCTCATTTTGTCTCGGTTTCTCCGGTTTTCTTACTTGTACACAGCCCTTGTTAAACTTTTTTTGACACATTCACTTGCTTAATCACAAACTTTTTCAAAACCATGTGTCATGTTAGACAGCACAAAGAAGACAAGTTTGTAATGATGTCAATCAAGTGCCTGTACTCCAGCAGATCATAAGCAACAACCAATCACATTGTGCGTGGCATTCACCACATTGTATAAAACGAGTTACATACATTTTTTTTTTCATCAGATGGAATTTCTGTGTTCACAATTATTGGAGAAGGGTGCAAATTTATCTAATTTTGTCTGGTCCAGAGCACACTCCTGTAGTAAACTTAAGGGAGCACCCCCCGGGATGAAGATGTGCTACCTCCATTAACCACTTGCATTGCATTGCATTGTAAGAGTGTGAAAAATATTTTTACATGAAAACCCTTTTAGACCAAACCATGATCCGTGTATCATTGTATCATTAAAAAGACTGTGTTGTAATCGTTACCTTGATTTCGGGCGTCTGAGTCGTGTTGGTGGCAAATCGAGTGGTGGTACATTTGTGTCCGATTCACTGCTTCTGTTACAACGATCATTACCCGAGTTATATGCAATCAACAACGATTCCTCCTTACTTCGTTTCGCCTTCTTTGAATTCATAGCGATAACTTTCGCAGACCTCAGTATTTTATTTCTCATACAACTTCTCAACAGTCGCCTGTAATGTGACACCCACTCTCTTGTGAGAAAGTAAATTACATTCCACTCTCATAACGTGAGCTTGGGACAGCTGTGTTTTTATCAGCTTTCAAAAGACACATAAAAATAGATTCATGTAAACAAATGCCAACAACAACAACAACAAAACAGTCAATAATAATTGATAAGTTCACAAACCAATTCAGCCAACTTTCTGGATTGTCTATGGACAGCCTCTGAGATTTTGGTGACGTCAACTGTCAAATTTAATAGCTGCTCTGAAACATCTGCTTGTTCCTCTCCTACAGGTCCTCTTGATTTTATGCTGCTGCTATTTGGGGACAATACATGAGACACTTTTGTTCGTACATCATCAAGGGTAGCCTGAGAGAAAAAATATTATAGCTTTATCGATTTGTTTAAAAACTGTTTGGGTAAAAACAGACAATATTATGTTGGAGGTGGGTAATTGCTTGTTGGAGCAAAATACAAAATATAAAATATAGTTAGAACCGCTCATAAACAACCTCTCATAAGCGACTGCAACCACATTTTGGCCTGATGGTTTTAGAGTTTTCCACTGTTTGTAACCTCGTGAAAGTAACCACTTTAATACATGGTGTAGTCTCTTTGTTTGTGGCATGTCCATGTACTACGTCACTCAGTATACAAAGAACTTTCAATGACAACCTGGAACTACATTTATTGGTAACTTAGCAATTGCATGCAATAAGTTCAATAGGTTCTCTGCCAAAAACTAGATGTGTCAGGACCTCTTCTTAGAATACACACCCTGTGATTCAATTCACCTGTAAGGAGGCCCTGCCAGGCTAAATTCCGACAAGCGACATGGTCCAAAAAGTAGTGACAGCGCGTAAAATGAAATCACGACAAGAGACAACCTCCCTCGGCCAAATTGTGACAGTGTCGGCAAAGCCGACAATAAGCAACAAGCATTTATAAACACCGACACGAGACGTTTTTGGATATGTGTTTTCTAGGGAGGGGAACACATATCACTAGGGATATGTGTTTTCCAGGTGGGCGAACACATATCACTAGGGATATGTGTTTCCCAGGTGGGGGAACACATATCACTAGGGATATGTGTTTCCTATATGTGGGAACACATATCGCTAGGGATATGTGTTTCCAAGGTAGGGGAACACATATCTCTAGGGATATGTGTTTCCCAGGAAGGGGAACACATATCACTAGGGATATGTGTTTACCCGGTAGGGGAACACATATCACTAGGGATATGTGTTTCCCAGGTGGAGGAACACATATCACTAGGGATATGTGTTTTCTAGGGAGGGGAACACATATCACTAGGAATATGTGTTTCCCAGGTAGGGAAACACATATAACTGGGGATACGTCTTTCCCAGGTGGGGCAGCACATATTACTAGGGATATGTGTTTCCCAGGTAGGGAAACACATATCACTAGGGATATGTGTTGCCCGGGTAGGGGAACACATGTAACTAGGGATACGTCTTTCCCAGGTGGCGGAGCACATATCACTAGGGATACATGTTTCCCAGATGGGGAAACACATATCATTAGGGAGATGTGTTTCCTAGGTGGGGGAACACATATCACTAGGGATATATGTTTCCCAGGTAGGGAAACGCATATCACTAGGGAACCATCATAAGTCGGTATCCCGATCAAATGAGCCGGTTTTGTGGGATTTCTATATTATTTTTTTGTTGGTCTCAAGTCTTTGGATGTTCGTTACTATTTTCTATCCAAAGGATGGCCTGACAGGCGACGTTTTACGTCATAACATCTTGACCTTTCATGCGGCCTCTGTGGAAAACCGGCGGAAAAAGTCTCTACGCGTTAGTTCCCTTCTGGAGCTGAAATACACTTTAACAATATCTTGTCGACGTTATGATGAACAAAAAAGGTTTTTTGTACAAGGTAATCTCAACTTTGCGTTGATGTATAGAAATAATAGCGAGTTTTAAGTATTTGTTCTTTGCCATTGAGTGGACTGCAAAATTTACTGAAAATATAGGACTGCTAGCCATATAATGTTTTGAAAACCTTGACCGGTTACCGGCCTTATAGCCACAGCGAAAAATTTTACTAAAAAATTAATGTAAAAATAAAAAAAAAACAACACTCAGTCTGCACAGTCTGCACAGTCCGCACGATTTGCAGTCTGCATGGTCTGCGTTTCAACGTGACTTATTTTTTGCTACTACTTTTTAAGGATTTTATGAGCGCAATCGGGAAAGGCCAAATCGGTAGACCCCTTTGGAAAAATGTAAATTTTTCGACTTTTTAAACTTCTTGTTTTTGTGGCCTAGAAACGCGTTTTTTCGTTCTAGAATATCGTCAAAGACATTTTCCTGCCCTATATTGCCTAAAAAATAAAAGTTGGAGAAATGGCCATGTTTGGACCAAAAGCATGGGTTAACCTCTTTGGAAAAATGTCAATTTTTGGACTTTTTAAACTTGTTGTTTTTATAGCCTAGAAAGGCGTTTCTTCGTTCTAGAATATCGTAAAAGTCATTTGGGTTGCATATATTGCCTAAAAAAGAAAAGTTGGAAAAATGGCCATTTTTGGACCAAAACCATAGGTTAACCCCTTGGAAAAATGTCAATTTTTCCACTTTCTAAACTTCTTGTTTTTATAGCCTAGAAAGGCTTTTTTTCGTTGTAGAATATCGTAAAAGACATTTGGGTTGCTATATTGCCTAAAAAATAAAAGTTGGAAAAATAGCCATTTTTGGACCAAAACCATGGGTTTAACCCCTTTGGAAAAATGTCAATTTTTCGACTTTTTAAACTTGTTGTTTTTATAGCCTAGAAAGGCGTTTTTTCGTTCTAGAATATCGTAAAAGTCATTTGGGTTGCATATATTGCCTAAAAAAGAAAAGTTGGAAAAATGGCCATTTTTGGACCAAAACCATAGGTTAACCCCTTGGAAAAATGTCAATTTTTCCACTTTCTAAACTTCTTGTTTTTATAGCCTAGAAAGGCTTTTTTTCGTTGTAGAATATCGTAAAAGACATTTGGGTTGCTATATTGCCTAAAAAATAAAAGTTGGAAAAATAGCCATTTTTGGACCAAAACCATGGGTTAACCCCTTTGGAAAAATGTCTATTTTTCGACTATTTAAACTTCTTGTTTTTATAGCCTAGAAAGGCTTTTTTTCGTTCTAGAATATCGTAAAAGACATTTGGGTTGCTATATTGCCTAAAAAATAAAAGTTGGAAAAATAGCCATGTTTGGATCAAAACCATGGCTTAACCCCTTTGGAAAAATGTCTATTTTTCGACTATTTAAACTTCTTGTTTTTATAGCCTAGAAAGGCGTTTTTTCGTTCTACAATATCGTCAGACATTTTCCTGCCCTATATTGCCTAAAAAATAAAAGATGGAAAAATGGCCATTTTTGACCAAAACCAAGGGTTAACCCCTTTGGAAAAATGTCAATTTTTCGACTTTTTGAACTTCTTGTTTTTATGGCCTAGAAACGAGTTTTTTCGTTCTAAAATATCGTAAAAGACATTTTCCTGCCCTATATTGCCTAAAAAATAAAAGTTGGAGAAATGGCCATGTTTGGACCAAAAGCATGGGTTAACCTCTTTGGAAAAATGTCAATTTTTGGACTTTATAAACTTCTTGTTTTTATAGCCTAGAAACGCGTTGTTTCGTTCTAAAATATCGTAAAAATCGTTTTCCTGGCCTAGATAGCCTAAAAAATAAAACTTGGAAAAATGGCTATTTTTGGACGAAAAGCATGGCTTAACCCCTTTGAAAAAAATGTCAGTTTTTCGACTTTTTAAACTTCTTGTTTTTATAGCCTAGAAAGGCGTTTTTTCGTTCTAGAATATCCTAAAAGTCATTTGGGTTGCGTATATTGCCTAAAAAAGAAAAGTTGGAAAAATGGCCATTTTTGGACCAAAACCATAGGTTAACCCCTTGGAAAAATGTCAATTTTTCCACTTTCTAAACTTCTTGTTTTTATAGCCTAGACAGACTTTTTTTCGTTCTAGAATATCGTAAAAGACATTTGGATGGCTATATTGCCTAAAAAATAAAAGTTGGAAAAATAGCCATTTTTGGACCAAAACCATGGGTTAACCCCTTTGGAAAAATGTCTATTTTTCGACTATATAAAATTCTTCTTTTTATAGCCTAGAAAGGCGTTTTTTCGTTCTAGAATATCGTAAAAGACTTTTTCCTAACCTATATTGCCTAAAAAAATAAAAGTTGGAAAAATGGCAATTTTTGGAAAAAAACCATGGGTTAACCACTTTGGAAAAATGTCAATTTTTCGACTTTTTGAACTTCCCGTTTTTATACCCAAGAAAGGCTTTTTTTTTGTTCTAGAATATCGTAAAAGTCATTTTCCTGGCCTATATTGCCTAAAAAATAACAGCTGGAAAAATGGCCATTTTTGGACCAAAACCATGGGTTAACCCCTTTTAAAAAATGTCAATTTTTCGACTTTTTAAACTTCTTGTTTTTATAGGCAAGAAATGCGTTTTTTCGTTCTAGACTATCATAAAAGACATTTTTCTGGCCTATATTGCCTAAAATATAAAAGATGGAAAAATGGCCATTTTTGACCAAAACCATGGGTTAACCCCTTTGGAAAAATGTCAATTTTTCGACTTTTTGAACTTCTTGTTTTTATAGCCTAGAAACGCGTTTTTTCGTTCTAGAATATCGTCAAAGACATTTTCCTGGCCTATATTGCCTAAAAAATAAAAGATTGAAAAATGGCCATTTTTGACCAAAACCAAGGGTTAACCCCTTTGGAAAAATGTCAATTTTTCGACTTTTTGAACTTCTTGTTTTTATGGCCTAGAAACGCGCTTATTCGTTCTAGAATATCGTAAAAGACATTTTCCTGGCCTATATTGCCTAAAAAATAAAAAATGGAAAAATGGGCATTTTTGGACCAAAACAGTGGGTTAACCACTTTGGAAAAATTTC